TCTAGCCCTCGCTGTTGGCAAAGGGCGGCCGGGGAGCCCGCATCTCGTGCGCGCGCTGAGGCGGCTCTCTGGCGTCACCTTGGCATGCGGGCTGCGGCCGCTGGTCCGATGGGTGCCCTCTGAACGGAATGTCGCCGACAAGCCGTCGAGGGAGGGCTTCTTCGTCGGGCCGAGCTTCGAGGACCTCCTGGAGGGGCAAGTCGCGCGGCGGCCTCGTCGGGCCGAAGGAGGTGATCAAGACAGCGAGGGCTCGGAAGACCCACCCTGGGCCCTCCAGTCTCTCGCGAGGGAGTCTCTCAGTGCTGGTGGCGTCAGAAGTTTCTGAGTTGGTGCCTGTGGACCGCGCGGGACTTCTCCTGCTGCGCCGACCTCGACACCGTGCTGGTGGTGCACTTCGTGCATATGTTCCTGGACGGGTACGACAGCGCGACGGGCCGCACCACGCTCGCCGCCCTGAAGCACCATCTCCCCTCGATGCTGGTCGGGAGTCGGCCGCTGCCGCGGGCGTTTCGGGCGCTGCAAGGGTGGGCGAAGCTCGTCCCGCCCCAGATGCGCCTTCCGCTGCCTCGGGTGGCGATGTTCGCGATAGTGGGCGCCCTCCTGGCGCAGGGCCGCCTGTCCGAGGCGGTGTTCGCACGCCTGGCCTTCGACGCGTACCTCCGCCCGAGCGAGGCCTACCGCCTCACGGCCGCCTCGCTCATCGCCCCGCGCGTCGGGTCGAAGGGCGGCTACCAGCACTGGGCCATCCTGGTCAACGACGCAGCCAGCGGCAGACCTGGCAAGACGGGGGTGACCGACGAGAGCGCGATCGTGGACGACCCGTCGTTGTGGCCGCTGCTGGCCGCGCTGCGCGACGGGAGGCGGCCCGAGGCGAAGTTGTGGACGTTCTCGCCCGAACAGGTCCGCCAGGCCTTCCGAGCGGCGCTGGCGATGCTGCAGCTCGACGGCGAGCGGAGTCGCTGTACTCCCTTCGGCACGGAGGGGCATCCGACGATCTCCTATCGGGCCGTCGGACGCGCAAGGAGGTCAAGGACCGCGGGCGCTGGCGGACGGATCAATCCTTGAACCGCTATGCGAAGCGGGCGCGGATGCAGCAGCGTCTGGGGCAGCTCTCACCCGCGCTGGTGGACTTCGGCGACAAGGTCGAGGCCAGGCTGCTGCAGCTGATGGAGGTGACGGCGAGGACGGGCATCTTCCCGCTCCACCTGCCGCCCCTGGTGCCCGCGTCAGCGCCGGCTGCAGAGAAGACTGCGCCCAAGCTGACCGATCAGTGGAGGTTCGACTGAATAGACTGTGGCGGCGCGCCCGTGTGCGCGCCTCTGTTTTGCCGTACTTCGTTACATTGTGTATCTGCGTGCCGACTCACGTTCGACTGGCCTGCGAGGATCGCGGGCTAGGAACAATGGCCATCAACCTAGCCAGACATCGTACAGAGGACGCCTCGGATCCTCGGGTCGTTCAGATGCTGCTGGGCTGGGTGCGATCATCGGCCGTCTCAGGGCTGTGGGCGTCTTTGCCGTCTGCGACCTGGTCCTCGAGCGGCGCTCGATGCCGCCGCCCCGGCGCCCCGCTTAAGGCCGCCAGCAGTGACGACACCATTATTCGTGCCATTCGCGTGGCGAACGCCCTAGCAGCGTCTGTCTTTAAGTTGATTCGAGAGTGCGCGGCTCGTCAGGTGCCTGTGATTTTCTGGCACCCAGAGTCAAGCCTGATCTGGCGACATCCGCTCCTTTCCTCGCTCCTCGCCTCTGCCTCCTCTTCTTGCTCTCTCGATTCCTGCATGTACTCGGGTCGGGTTCGGCAGAGATTGTTGTTGATCGGGTGGGGCGTCCGAGATCTCAATTGTCTGTCGCGCCGTTGCCTCTGCGCCCTAGGCCTGCGTGACCGCGCTGGCCGCCGCCACCTTGGCGGCCTAGGGCGTCCTGCGCTGGATGCCGTTGCGCGTTGCTCAGCTCGTGGGCTTCCCTTTCAAGTAGCCACTGCAGGCACTGTCATGATAGTGGCCGCTGCTCGGCAATTATCTCGTGCCGCTAGATACAAGAAAATGTTTGGTCAATGAAGTGTTGCGGCTGTGGCCATTTGTTGTGACCTAGCATTAGTTGCCGAGTCTGTGCTTCGAGGCTGGCCGTTGCTCTCGTGCGCCGTCGCCCTTCTGCACAAAAAGTACCCGCTGGCCTCGAGAGAGCCCCGCATACAGCGACTTGTCGGCATTTGTGGGTTTGCATGTGGCCGCGCCTCCTTGCCCAAGTTCTTCCCTGGGCCCTCCCGCCCAACTTGAGCCGCATATTAACTGTTTTGTGCTGTGCTGACCGAGTCTGTGCTTCGAGGCTGGCCGTTGCTCTCGTGCGCCGTCGCCCTTCTGCACAAGAAGTAACTGATGGCCTCGAGAGAGCCCCGCATCATCGTCATCATCGCCAGCGCCGTCACCATACAATCATCATCATCAGCATCATCACCATCATAATCAACATTATTTTCGCCAGCATCGTCATCATCAGTATGTTCACATCATCCCTATCATCATCATCAGCAACATCAGCAGCAACATCCTCCGCATCATCACCACCATCCTCAGAATCAGCAGCATCTTCATTACCAGTAGCATTGTCAGTACCGTTACCATCCCCATCATCATTAACATTGTCATTTCCATTGCCACTACCCCATTACCACTGCCATTGTCGTTGCCCTTACCAGTGCCATTCCCACTGCCATTACCATCACCATGGCCACTACCATTACCATTTACCGTTCACCATTTGCCATTTACCATCTGCCATCGACCATCTACCATCCATCATCTACCATCGTCCATCTACCATCGGCCATCTACCATTAACCATCCACCATCACCATCACCAAGACCAGCATCGTGAAGCACCATTATCCTCCCATGTTTCTCTCCTCCCATCCCTGCCTCTGCCGTCCGCATGTCTCTGCTTTGGCACACTCCTCACGCGTTCCGTGGCTCGATCGGAAGCGCCAAGCTCCACCGAATGCCTCCTTGTCATCGCCGTCGTCCGCATCGGGCCTCTGCTCCCCGCGTGCGGTCCAGCGCCGATCCGAGAAATCCGCGCGGACCTCCTAGTTGTTATGTTTATGACACTGCTTGTTCCCCTAACGAATGATGTTGGGGCTTTCGGTGGAGTTTCGTATGAGGCCACGAAGCGTGTGAGCGATGTTCCATCGCGGGCGCATGCGAACGGCAGAAGCAGGGACGGGAGGAGCGAGGAGGGAGGAGGGAGGGAGGGAGCAGGGAGGAGCAGGAGGAGCAGGAGGAGCAGGAGGAGCAGGAGGACCGGGAGGAGCAGGAGGAGCAGGAGGAGCAGGAGGAGCAGGAGGAGCAGGAGGAGCAGGAGGAGCAGGAGGAACAGGAGGAACAGGAGGAGCAGGAGCAGGAGCAGGAGCAGGAGCAGGAGCAGGAACAGGAGCAGGAGGAGGAGGGAGGAGGGAGGAGAGAGGAGGGAGGAGGGAGGAGGGAGGAGGGAGAGGGAGGATGGAGGAGGGAGAGGGAGGAGGGAGGAGACAGGAGGCAGAGGCAGGAGCAGGAGGCAGGACGGACGGAGGGGGGGAGGTGATGGAGGAAGGGAGGGAGGGAGGTAGGGAGGCAGGAGGAGGAGGAGGAGGAGGAGGAGGAGCGCTTGAGGAGGAGGATGAGGAGGGGGAGGAGGGTGAGGAGGGAGGAGGGGAGGAGGGGGAAGGGGGTGAGAGTGGGAGGATAGGCGAGGAGGAGGAGGAGGAGGAAGAAGGAGGAGGAAGGAGGAGGAGGGGGGAGGAGGAGGAGGAGGAGAAGAGAGGAGGAGGGGAGGAAAGGATGAGGAGGAGGGGAGGATGAGGAGGAGGAGAGGAGGAGGAGGAGCGGGGGCGGAGCGGAGGCGAGGCGGAGGGAGGGGGAGGGGGAGGGGGAGTGGAGGGGAGGGGGAGGGGGAGGAGGAGGAGGGGGAGGGAGGGGGTGGGGAGGGGGAGGGGAGGGGGAGGGGAGGGGGAGGGGGAGGGGATGGGGAGGGGGAGGGGAGGGGGAGGGGAGGGGAGGAGGGGAGGAGGAGGAGGAGGAGGGGAGGAGGAGGAGAGGAGGAGGAGGAGGAGGAAGAGAGGAGGAGGAGAGGAGGAGGAGGAGGAGGAGGAGAGGAGGATGAGGAGGAGGAGGCGAGGGGAGGAGAGGCGGAGGAGGAGGAGGAGGGAGGAGGAGGAGGAAAGGAGAGGAGAGGAGGAGAGGAGAGGGAGGAGAGAGGAGGAGGACGAGGAGGAGGAGGAGGGGGAGGGGGAGGGGGAGGGGGAGGGGGAGGGGGAGGGGGAGTGGGGAGGGGAGGAGGGGGGGGGGATGAGGAGGAGGAGGAGGAGGAGGAGAGGAAGGAGAGATGAGGGGAGAGCGGAGAGGGGAGGAGGAGGAGGAGGAGGAGGAGAGGGAAGGAGGAGGAGGGAGGAGATGAGGAGGAGGAGGGGAGGAGGAGGAGGAGGAGGGAGGGGAGAAGGTGGCCGCCCAGCCGGCCTGACACCTGTGCTGCCTTTGCTCTCCAATCCGGTTGCTGCCAGCCCCTTGCGAGGGCAAAGGCCGAGGGGAAAGGCGGGCGATTAGAAGAGCATCTTGTTGTTCTAATCGCCCAGCAGCTTCTTAGGAGCTGCACAAGCACGAAGTCTGTCATGTCCGCCCGCATCTCCTGGAGCGGGGCTAGATGGACCCCAGGGGCGGCGCCGTTGGCGCCGCTAGGGAGGTCCATGTCCGCTCCACGAAATCCGCGCGGAGATCCGAAACTGGGAAGACAGCGACAGCGCGGGAGCTTGTCTGAGGCGTGGTTCCTGCGCCCCCCTTTTGGTTTCAGAACCCCCCGCTGGGGCGGTGGTCCAGCCTTCGTAACCAGTCTCATACCACACCGCCACCTGGACGGCTGATGTCGAACATCGTGACCCGCGCATCAAGTCGCTGTTTTGCCATCCGAAAGTGCACGTTTACGTAATTATGCAGCTTTTGCTGTGACCCTGCGAACCGCACGGGCGCCGAGGTCGTGGACGGCGCCAGCGTCTGGGCTGGGAGGTTGCGCCAGAGGC